GCGTCCCTGATGCGCCCAGCTTTGCGCGCGGTGCGCAGGACAAGTTGAGGCGCGCCCGCCCTAGACCCCCCTTCGAAGACTCGCCCATGATGATCCAAGATGTTGCGCTTGACGGTGCAAACCCAAGAAGCATGCGCACCACTGGCGCGCGCGACACGTGCTCCACCAAGCATGCAGGCACCTGACGATGCGATGACAGGTCGTACCTGCTTCGGGGGCCGGTGACAGAAGCCCGCGCTGGCCTCGTGGTGGCACGGGATGTAAAACAAATGCCCCGTCGTCTCTGCCGCCTCGTCCCTAGAAACGCCGAACCTAGGGGGGTCCATCTTCAGCCTCGCGTGAATTGTGGGGGTCTTGGTGGTGGGGCTCTTCATTCTGCTGACTGGCATTATGATGAGACTGCTGCTGCGTCCGAGCTTCGAGAAGGGGCTCCTGCGACCAAGGGTCGGGCTCTTCCTCCCGACTACCGAGCTCTGAGACTGGCACGGGTCTTCGGGTTCCTCTGGGCCGACCTGGCTGGCGGCGTCCTGGGGCCCCTTGGGCCCCGGCAGCAAATGTCAGAAACAATTGTCACGTGCCTCCTGAACCTGTCGTTGAAATACAGTGCGACGCTCTTGCTTCTTACGATTGCTTGCCTGCGCCCTGCCGCGCACTTGCCCTGCTCGGCCAGGCCCTAGAACTTGCGGCAGCTTCTTGGGAATAATCAGAGATCGATCAATGGGTTGCAGGCCTTCGCTGCGAAGCCTCACGCTGTGACCGCAGCGCGTGCCCCATGGCGCGTCAAAAACTGGAGAGATCCCAAGTGCGCATGGCGTTGCGGACTGAGACGCAAGCAAGAAATATATGCGTGACGCGCCCGTGCCTGCGATGGAAGTGCGCTCTCTATATCCGAAGCGGAAAGACACCCCCACCGATCCTCTCGATGCACCCGCGCCGAGCGAGGTCCATGGGGCTCATGTTAAGATCTCCTACCATAATCCACGGGGGTCAGCAGGGAGGCCAATAGAGCCTCAACTCTGGACGGCCTCCTAGCCCAAATTGAAGCCCAACGAGGAGATTCCATAATATGAAAGAATGACCATAATGTACCCTTGGACATGGGGAACTACTGGAAGAAACCCGTCAACAGCCTCCGACGTCTGACTATGCTCGGGGTAATCACTGGGATTGGCGAGCGAGTAAATCTGTCGATGGCCCTGATCTCAAATCAGTTATCCCGCCCCCCCTTTGGCTAGATCGCCGTCGAACTTGCCTGGGCGAGGTCGGTCAAAGAAAAGTTTAAACTTGGCGCTGCGAAACTTACTGGCCCACTCTGCAAGTTGCGCCGCCTGCGCGCGCGCCTCTGCGAACGCGAAGATCTGATGCTGAAGGCGAATCACTTGCGAAGAAACAGACTTCCAAGCCTGAGGTCCCCAACATGTGACGTTTCTGAAAAAGCGGGAGGTGAAACCCTCCACCTGGGCCTGATCAGCCTCTGTCGCCGCCTCTCCCCTAGGGAGAGACTCAGGAGCTGTCGAAGTAGCCGTGGGAGAAGGGGCCTGTCTCGTCGAGGTCGTCGCACGGGCTGCATTCTCGCCCGCGCTCCTGCTCTTTCATGTATTCGCATGTTTCTTGTCCTCCTCCGCCGCTGCGAGCTTGGCCCCGGAGATCCTGCGAGCTGCATCGCGCATGCCTGCCTGATGAGCTGCGTTTGCGCCTGGAGCCTCCTGGGCCTGGGCGTCGGCGGCCGTCGGTGGGCTTGCGCTGGCGGCGGCGACCGTGCCACTCGCGGCCGCGCTCCCCGCGCCGGTGCCTCCGCGGTCCCCGTTGCCCATCTTCGGCTCAGTAGAATCCATCCTCCTCTTCTTCTGCTGTCGATCGGTAGCTGTCTTTTTCAACGCCTTCATCATAGTTTTCCACTCGTGCACTTTGGTATCTCTGTCGTTCAGGTTGGCTTCGTCCCATTGAAGATCAAACATCGACTGCCCTTTGCCATTGTCCTTCTGCGTAACATGAATCCCAGACACTTGGGCAAGTAGCGCGATGGCGTTCTTCTTGGATTACTCAGCTTTGGCCAATGCAAACGCACATTCTTGTTTACGCTCCTCTGCGCGTCGAAGATTCTCTCTGCATCTGACCACCTGCGCAAACGCTTGCTCGTGTTTGAAAAGCGCAATTTTCCAGGCACTAGTGGCTGTTTTGACAGTCTCGTCCGTGCTGATGGGCTTGCTCTCTGGTGAACTGCCTGCCTTGAACGCACTCATCTGTTCCAAAAACACCTTCTTGTTATTGAGATCGGATGATTACACCAACACTTTGGTCAACAATGCTTGGTCTTCGGCAGGGCTAGCATCCTTGCCTTTGCCCTTGCCGCCGCTCTTGACTGCGCCGTTGACAAAATAGAACTGGTTGCTACTGTCTTGATCACTGCGATCCTCACTATTCTGCTTCGGTTTGTAGACATTGACTGTGGGCCGACAGTTGGCACACTGATTGTTCCTCTCTGACAACATATCCTTCCACAAATGAGTGTGACAACGACAACATGTGCTCCAGTGCCTCACCCCTTTGCCCGACATCGCAGCGAATCGGGAAAAGCTGTTATTGCCCTGCTTTTGCTGCCAGTAAGTGCTGTCCACGCAGGACGGAAGAACTGGCAACCCTCAAGCACCCCGAGGAGGCACAGGGTTGGGTGCGTGTGCCTGCAAAATGCGGCTCGTGCCCAAATTGCTTGAGTGGAAGAGGAGGGGGAGGAGGAGGAGGAGGAGGAGGAGGAGGAGGAGGAGGAGGAGGAGGAGGAGGAGGAGGAGGAGGAGGAGGAAAGGGGGAGGTCTGGTCAGAGCAAAACAAGAATCGGGGCAAAGCTGACTCAGGTCAGCTCTGACCCGGGTGAGCCAAGGCCATGCCCCCAGGCCCTGGCCTGCCGCGCATAGGACCTCCAAAACCCGGGGGGCCAGTGGAAGGGGGGTGGGGGTGGCCAGCCCCACGTGTCTCGCAAACCTGGGCCAGCCACGAGGGATCAGACTGCACTGGCTGGCAAGCCTGACCCAAATCGAATCGCGAACTCCTCTAGGATCGGCAGCGGATCGGATCGCAACGGATCGCTTCCAATCGGATCGAAATCGAATCGATGTGCCCGGCTCTGGCTGGCCTTGGCTGGTGCCGGCGAATCGGGCCGAATCGAATGGAATCGGAATCGCGGGCCCAGTCCGCGAATCGACTCGCGTCGAATAAGATCGCAGGCGGCCCTGGCTGAACCCGTTGGCTTTGATACCTGGTGACAGGAACATGACATTGACTACCTACCAGACCAACCCAACCTAACCCGAAGACCCAAGTTTCGGGTTGGGGAGGGATGCAGGTTCCCCGTGTTTTTTCTATGTTCCCCGACCCCCCCCAATCGAGGGTAAACTTGGGCCTTTGGGTTGGGTTGGGGTGGTTTGGTGGGTCGTGAGACATACTAGAATATGGGCCTCAAGCGGTTCAAGATGATTCGGGCATCCCCGGACCGCTCTCGACGAGGCGCCACTGATGGAAAGCGGCCCGGGCCTCGAACACATCCGAAAGCTTTCGAAAAATATCGGAAACCTGTGGCATGCGTCCCTGAAGCGGCGCGGCCTGTTCACAAGGATGCACGGTGAGAAAAGAAAGGGCCGCTGGACGCCAACCCTGAGCCGAAGGTGGAAGCCAACGGCCCGTGGCCAATTGCTGGGATGCGCCGAGAAGCAAGGATGCAAATGAACCTTTGGGACAATACTCATCCTTATGATGCACTTTGACTGTGCCCTGGGACTCAACGCCGTATACAAAGTCTCATATTAGCCAGCGTGGACCACAAACAATGAGTTAGTGCAGCGTGGACGTGAATGCTATGCGGTTTAATATGGGCGCTGTGAGAGATGGTGAAAACTATGAGGTGTAAGGTACGCGGAGTGAAGGTAAAATCTGCAAGCTCTGTGGTGTGAGCTATGCGGTGCAAGCTACATTGTGTAAGTTATGTGGTGCCAGTTCTATGATCTGCAAGCTTTGCGGTGTAATTAAAATATGGTATGCAAGCTTCGCGGTGTACCAGTTTATCGCCCCGTACATCTTTTGGGTGGTCCCAGGGCCCGATGACGCGCCCCGAGGACCGAAACAAAGCCCGGATCGAACAGCAGCCACACCATCTGAGATCTACAAGGGCCGCGCGCCCTGAACAGGAGGGATCGGAGATGGTGGCGCCCGCGCGCCCCGGACAGGAAAAATCGGGGATGAGGGAGAACGCTAAAGGGGGTAGGAGGCAAAATTCGCCAGAACGATTGAGGGCTATAAAACCCGATTAATTTCGACCCGGAATCGGCGGTACATCGCCGGTGGATCGGCGATAAGTTCCCGACGGCGAATCTGGCCGTTGCTGGGTGTGGAAGGCCATCGGGGCTTAATCGGCGATGCATGGGCGATTTGGGGCCGATGCGCTCCCCCCCGAGCCTATCCCCCCCTGAGCGTTGCCCCCTGACGCTACTCCTCACGTTCGGGGGGCCTGTTGAGGTCAATTGGGACTACCTCGGGGGCCTGTTGATAAGCGGCGAAAACTAAAAGCAGCGACGAATACAACGGAAAAACATGGTTTGCATAGCGCGGTGCCCACCCTCAGGGCCCGCCAGTGCCAATGGCAGTGGAGGTTGCCCCGCAGGGGCAAGTGAATGTCGCTCGCTCCATGGCGGAAAAACAACGGCCGAGGGAAGCGTGGTGCAAGGCCAGAAAGCGGAGCCAGAGTCGTTCGCCACCTCCCGAATGCTGAGCCGCGCGGACAAGATGCAACGGCCCTGGAGAGCCATGCTAACGTTTTTCGAACGAGGCGGGCCAGCGAAAAGCCGCTAAGAATGGGCCGAAGGGCAAGGATGCAAGGGTAACCTTGGAAAGTCGCTCATCCTCACTATGCGGGTTGACTGTACCAGGCCGTGCGCCCCGAACAGGGAGGCATCGGCGACGGCGGCGCCCGCACGCGCCCCGCTGGCGCGCGGGCCGCTGAGAGCCCCCACGCCGCAGAGGCCGCCGAGGTCGGGCGCTGTGCCGGCGGAAGCCGCGGCCTCCGCGCCCCCGCCCGCCGGCCCCTCCCGCTCCCTGCCCTCCCCGATGCGGGCCTGACTTGTGTCCATATGCATTGCAGCTTGGAGTTTTGGGATCCCTTCCCCAGAAATCCGAGGCGCACTGGATATAGATAGAAATCTAACCCCTAGAGGCTCGAACTTGATCCATATCCAGTGCGACTCGGCCTTTTGGCGCTCTTCCAAACACTGGATATGGATATAAATCATGCCCGCACCCAATGCCAATGGAGTCCGAGCACTGCTGCGCGATAGCCCACCCTGGACCAACATTACCCTGGCGAAGGACCCAGCCAGATGCAGCTGTGAGCACCGCGCTGCGGGCACCGCTTCCGGTGAAGCTCCTTGTGGGGCCACGAAGCGTCTGAGTAGTGTGCCAACATGAGCGGGGAGCCGCATGTGGACCGCGCCACGGGGCCATTCGGTGGAGTTTTTTTTGGCATCTACGCCACGCCACCAAAACCTTGGACTGACCAAGGAAACGAGCCAGCAGCGGAGGGGGATGCTGGCACCTTGGCCTAGGCAAAAGCCTGAGTCACAGCGCAAATGAAACAGCACGACGAGAGGCCGAGAGGACCTCTGCGTCCAAGTGCCCAAGCTCAAAGCGAACCTGCCGCAACATCTCTAAGAGAGGGGGCAGGCACACTGGGCCACAGGAGGGCACTGAGCTGCCAGCGCAAAAGCTTCCTATTGCAGAGGCACTGCAACTGGAAGGCTCTCTCGTACCGACTGCCTTCGCTGAACAAGAGGGACTGCGGGCGAGACAGCGCCCTTCCACAAGAGCCTCGATGGCCCCAGGAGGTGGAGGGCAGGACGGAGGGACGAGCAACGTACACTCGCACGAGACGCGCGCCCAACGCCAACAAAAAAGATGTTGGGGCCAAGAACCAAAGCTCCAGGCCACAGCAACATCAGACGAGCCACTGTCAGGATGAAGTCACCCCCGTGCTTGGGCCAGGAAGAGGCGCACCCTAGGTGTGCATGCACCTTCCCCCAGAAGTGGGGTGCCTGACACGCGTGCGCGACGGACGCACGCAGAACGAGACCGCACACAACCAAATCAAAGAAAAAGATTCGACCACCCACAAAAGGACGACGAGCCCACAGTCCCTGGTGCAGCAAGCGCCAGGACGACCGTCGGACTCGCCCCAGATGTGGGGTAAAGCACGGATGCCTGCCAAAAGGGTCAGCCGCATCGGGCCGTGCAGAACATAAAAACGAGACGGCGAAACCTCGCCACTGGGAAAACTCGACCACCCACACAAGGCCGACGAGGCCAGAAGCCCCTGGTGCAAACAGCGCCGGGACAACATCAGTCTCGCCCCAGATGTGGGGTTTAGCACGGATGCCTGCCAAAAGGGTCAGTCGCATCGGGCCGTGCAAGCAAACGACAATGGATGGGCGGCCCTGCGCCACAGAGAACCAATCTGAACTATCCGACTCATCCTGGCGGCGTCTCGCCAGGAAAAAAAGGTGTGTCTTGTCGTAACTGTTGGGGTCCCTGCCGCATCTCCTGCTGAGGGGACTCCGACCAAGCCCGGGAACTCGAGCTGGGAGCCTGCACAGGCACCTCAGGAGCACCGTCTGCAAGGGCAGCAAGTGCAGCCTCAGAGTTGAAACGCTGTATCAGGCCTTCCGTGTCCACCGAAACGCCAGAAATCCTCAGCTGATACCTGGGGTGGAGGCCTTTGCACAAATAATCTCAACCCTGCTTGCGCGCGCGAGAAGGGACCGAAACACACTGTTTACTGAGTCCACGAATATGCCCTCCACGCGTGAGGCATTTACATCTAAGACAGATAAAGAGCACAGAGTTGTCAGAACACGGAAAAACCACCGTCCGATGGCCTAATGCGTCCTGGGAGTCTGCGTGGACAAGAGAGGACCTAGAGCAGGAACCTGGAGCTGGCTTCGAAAAGGAACGGTTCCCCCTCAAACAGTGAGCGCACCTCCAAATTCCGCTCCACGACCTCCAGTCGTGCCCTGGCACCTCCTTCTTCGGGCTGTTAACCTCAGGGAGTCTGCTGACCCCGTCCAGGTCCACAGGAGGCCACAGAGGGAGCACTTGCACCGCAACTTTCAAGGTGGCTCTCGCTAAAGCCACGAGGCGATCGGCCTCCTGCAAAAGAGAGTCATCCGTGGGGTGGAGGCGGACCGCAAACTTAGCCCCCACATCCGCATGGTGGTTGCCAAGACGGCGCCAACGCTCCTCGGCTGAAATCCCAGGTGCATCCAAGTCGAGGTGGGCAGCCACCTTGGTGCAGGCTGCCATCCCCGAGACCAGTCCGTGCACCTGAAGAAAGGCCCCAGCATACATGCGCTTAGGCGAGAGCTGAAGCTGCTTGGCGAGCGCCGCAGTCTGGACCACATTACTACAATCAGAATACACATGGCATTCAGAAGGGTGGGTCGACAGAACATTGGCCCAGGTGAAAGCACAAAATTCAGCACCCTGAGGAGTCTGAGGGTAGGGGCCCCAAACAGGGGCCCTAAGCTCAGCCACAAGATCTCCAGACTCGTCAACCATACAGGCGGAGGAGCCAGCCCTAGACAGCTCCTTGACAGTATGACGGGAGCACGAGCCATCAACAAAAAGGGGCCCCCACACTCTATTGTTGACTGGGGCTCCGTCAGGGTCGGTCTCGGGCATCTTGTGCCAGATCAGGGTCGGACCATCATCTTGCTCGTCAGCGGTCCGAGGGAAGGAGTCGGCGGGGTGCCGAAAGGCGCCAGATATAAAGACAAACAGCTCGTCATCATCTCCAGACGCCTTAGCAGACAAAACGGCCTCTATCACCTCACTGTCAGTAGCTTCTAGCCGAGCCGTGACAGCATCAGGGAGAGGGCATTCCCACAGCCGATGAAAGATGGTGTCGTTGGCCCCGCAATGAACACAACACGGATCGATGTCGTACCCGAGTGCCCTGGCTCAAGCCCGAGTCAAGATGGTCTCAGTCGAGAAGGCCCTAATCCTGCCCTTCTGAAGGGCCGTGAAACGCTTGCTACGGGGAGCAATAGACTCCTTGACAACGTCATAACAAAGGCGATAAGAGATGCCCCTCCTGGCAGCAGCATCTCTTTCCAACACCCTCAGGTATCCCGCACGGACCAGGGGCCCAACAAGAGCGGGCGAGAAAATCCCAAGGGGGATGGGTTTCCCAAAACCGTCAATCAGGGTCATGAAATCAGACGTGCCCCACCCTAATCTAACCAGAGACATCCCCATGGCCGTGGTCGGCCCCGCAACCTTCCTCCAACTACAGCTGGGGTCAGAACAAATGGCAGCCCAGGCAGTCTTCAAAGTGGGCAGGGGGATCGCCCAGCAGAAAGCACCTGTCTGTCTGAGCCAGATCTCTTTGCTCCACCTGAGAATGGGAGCTGCGGCCGACCGCCATGTCGGGCCATTGTCCAGCAGGGCGAGGACCGCGAGGGACCTCAGCCGACTGCGCGGGCGCACAACACTAAAAAGGCGGCGGCGCAGCAAGCTAAGGCCGTGATCGCTTATGCCCGTGACTTCGGTGCCGTACGAGACCCCCACCAGGAGACCAGCTGAGAATACCTTCAAGGCAGTAGACCGAATAAGTACCTTAGCCTGCCGCACTAGGCGCCGCGCCGCTGTGCCCGCCTTGGCGAGGCTGGCCTTCATCTTGGCCGAACGTCCAGCAACTCTGACAGCTCGGCCTGCCGAGTAGTCAACTCCGAGGTTGACAGCTGAACCTGTGCAGCGCTGGCAAAGATGGCTGATACGAGAAAGAACTTGTGAACCAACGCATTTAAAGCTAGACGCGATAACCGTTTTTTTCCAGAGCGAAGGCGCAACCAAAAACATCCTGGACCACAGAGTCGTGCGCCTGGGCCCCACGAACGATCGAGTCAATGACGACTTTCGGGGGGCCAGTCGACGACAGATCTTGATCATCAATGTAAACGTCCAGAGAAGCAGCAGGGGGCAGGGGCTGCTATCGTACCCTTCCATACAGTAGACACGTATGAGGGCGGTGGCCATCGAGCAGCCAGCGATGACTCCGCTGACACAAAAGTGAGGGCCCTCGAGCCAACCTCCCAAGCTGAGAAAGCGTTCAACCGCAAAGATGCACAGGCGGGCAATCGCCATAGGAAAACCGAGCCTGCGACAACGGTCTTCTAAACGCGAGAGGTTAATGTTCTCGTAAAATTTCGAGAGATCGAAAAAGATGCTGCAACTGGCGAGGCCCTTAGCGACTCCCGCCTCGGCTGTCACAGCCTGACGCCGCACGACGTCGGCTGCTCCCCGATGCTGGCCAGCAGCCCAGTACTCACGGGGGTGGGCCAGCTCCCAGGCCAGGGCCAAGGGGCGTCTGCAGCGTCCCCACACCCTGTACCAGGAGCAGATCCTTTATGGGCCTGTAGCCCCCTGTCGGCTTCGGCAGCAGCGCCAAAAGGGCCACAGAAACCTGGGGGAGCCAACCTGGGGGGGGGGGGGGGGGCAAGACGCCTAAAGCCTCCATGAGGCTGAAAAGAGCTCCCAGGCAGTCACGACAGGGATCGGAAAGGAGCGAGAAGTGCCTGCAGTGGAACCCATCCACCGAGATAGCCGAAGCCGTCCTGTAGGACTTTGAAACGTCCCTGATTTCTTGGGCGCCCAACCTGGTGAGGCCCTCCAGCCTCTCAAAGGCCGACTCCGCACCGATCCCAGGGCCACATAAAGAAGCAAAGCGGTCCCCTTCAGCCTTCAGCAGCGAGAGGGGGTCGGAAACCACGTTGCCAGCCGCCGAGAGGGTCGAGCTGGCAGCCCACGGGGCGGGGCCCCTAAGGAGGGTATGAACTCTTTTCGCTCCTGACTGCACCCCGACATTAAGCCAGGCCTTCCAATCAGAGCGGGCCTTGGCACGGAACTTCGAGTCGGCGGCCTGGACGGCCTCGTGCACCTGCGTGTACACGTCAGCAAAGGAGTAGGGGTCGACCGTGCGCGTCAAAGCCTCCTTCACCAAACTGAACAGTGG